TAAAAGAAGGATTTTATGTGTTCTTAACACAAAGTAATGGCAAATGATCGAGATAATAGGTATACTAATTAGCTGGATTTAATCATCACACATTATATTTGTATACTGAAAAATCACATTGTACCCCCAAACGTATTCAAATAAAGAGCCAAAAATGAAGAGTAAGGTAAAAACCAAAGTGAAAAGTGAGCTTGGTATTTTGACTACCCTGAGGACACAGGCCTTATTTTAATATCTCCCAAGCCCAAGACTGCAGCACTAGGACCTCCATGAGTCAGGGAGCTGGGACTGACACACTAGCATACAGTTGGGACTCTCAAAGAACTAGACTCTCAGGGAGAGTGGACCAAAAAAAAAAAAAAAAAGAAATTAAGTCCATGAACTGCAAAATACAAGGGAATACTTGTCTTCTCCTAGGCACTGATACAGTAGAAAAAAGTCTTTTGTTGGGGGGAAAAAAGTTCACTCTTTAGGTCTACTTCTTCCATGAGAAAGAGAGAGAGAGAAAGAGAGACAGATTCATGAACCCCCAGTAGGGTCTCCTTACCATGACCCACCCCCGGTCTCAGCTGACTTAGATAATGAATGCATGTGCCAGCTGAGCTTGCTCAGGGACGTCCCATGATGCAAACCTAGAACCCTTCCCATGTGAATCAAACTAACTACCACTGGCTCCCTGTGAAAAATACCACAGACCTGCACTTAGGCAAGTGTGATATTCATTTTTACATCACCAGTACAGTCCAGAAAAATCCAAACCAAAAAACCTGAGAAGTGGTCCCAGGTGCCAATCAGGAAACTCTTAACCCAAGCATCACATGAATAGGACCTCAAAAGCTAAACATAAGAAACATAGGCGGGGCCAGGAGATGGTGTGGTGGCTAAGGTATTGGACTCCCACATAGACCATGGTTCAAGTCTGGACCTGGAGGCCTGAAAATCACACTGGGTGTATTTGTGTGTGCGCCAAAAATCCCAGGAGGAGAATGGAGAAGGAATTGCAGCATGGCCAGCCTCTCTCTCGCTCACTCGCTCCCTCTCCAGCAAGTGTACACATATCCTACAGCAAAATCCTTTAAAAACAAAAAAATACAAAAAGAAAGATAGGTAGAATAAATGGGAAAGACATAATAAAAAACTTCAAAATCAGATCCTTAAAAATTTCAGGTAATAGAATTGTTAAAAACAAGCTATAGGGAACCAGCAGTTAGTGTAATGGCTATGTCGCTGGACTCCCACGTAGTCGACCGCGGTTCGTGTCCCGGACCCGGTGGCTTAAAACTCACGCCGGGCGCGTGTGCGTGCGTGCCCAAGATCCCGAGAGGAGAATGGAGGAGAAGGGATTGCGGCGTGACCAGCCCCCCTGGGGGGTGATTTCTCGCTTTCTATCTCTATGTCTCTCTCTGTCTGTCTGGCGAGCGCACGCGCCCTACAGTGAAAATCTCTCCAAAAAAAAAAAAAAAAAAAAAAGAAATAAAAAAAACAAGCTATAAAATATGTTTAAAATACTTAAAATGAGGGAATAAACATAAGAGCAAATAAGTAGATCAAATCTAGTTGTTCCAAGTCAACTTGTAATAGAACAAGATAGAATTTATTGAAAGAAATACAGTCTTTCTTTCTCTTTTTTTTTTTTTTTTTTTGAGAGGTTTTCGCTATAGGGCGCGTGCACTTGCCAGACAGACAGAGAGAGACAGAGAGACAGAAAGCGAGAAATCACCCCCCGGGGGGATGGCCATGCTGCAATCCCTTCTCCTCCATTCTCCTCTTGGGATCTTGGGCACGCACGTGCATGCACCTGGCGTGAGTTTTAAGCTACCCAGTCTGGGACACGAACCGCGGTCGACTACATGGGAGTCCAGCAACATAGCCATTAGGCTAACTGCTGGTCCCCAAAGAAATATAGTCTTTGACATTAAAAATAAATGGATGGGGTCAATAGATGGCAAGAAGTTAAGGCACTGGACTCCCACATGGCTGACCACGGTTCAAGCCCTGGACCTGGCAACTTGAAAATCATGCATTGTGTGTTGTGTGTGTGTGTGTGTGTGTGTGTGTGTGTGTGTGTCCAAACTCCCAGGAGGAGAATGGAGAAGAAGGGATTGCAATGTGGCCAAACCCCTGGGGAATGATTTTGCACTTTCTCTCTCATGGTCTGTCTCTCTCCTCTCTGGTGAGTGCACATTCCCTATGGTAAAAACCTTAAATAAAAAAATGTTTGAAACTCAATGGACAACTGGTGAGTAAATAAAATGTGATACAGTCTCACAGTGGCATACTATTCAACAACATAAAAGAACTACTGATACATTCAACAGCATGGAGCATCAACAATATTACATGACACAACAGACCACATACTGTATAATTTCACTTAGACGAAATGTGCATGAGAAGCAAATCTATAGAGACAGAAGTGGATTCGTGGTTGCCTACGACAAGGGTCCGGAATGGGGATTGACTGTAAGTCGGCATGAGCCATCCTTTGGGGAGATAAAAATGTTCCAAAATTGGATTATGGCAATGGTTGTACAACTGGGTAAATTTACTAAAAAACCATTGAACTATTCATTTAAAATGGTTGAATTTTATGGTATGAAGTTATGTATCAATAAAGCTGTCTAAAGAAATTGAGAAGCTAGGACAGACAAATGGTTAAGGTAGCTGGATACCACATGGCTAACTGCAAGGTTCGAGACCCAGCAGCTTGAAAAAGTATGCCAGGCATGTGTGCAGGTGTGCCCAAAATCCCAAGAGAGAGTAGAAGAGATATTACATCATGGTCATCATCCTGGGGAGTGCTCTCTCTCTCTCTCTCTCTCTCTCTCTTTCTCTCTTCCCCCTTCCCTCTATGTCTCTCTCTGGCAAGCATGTGCACCATACAGCAAATTAAAACAAACCAAAAAACCCTCAGAAATCAAGTTAAGTAACACATTGACACTGTCAGAATTGGAATGTAGATCTAAAAAATTGTACAGTGCAGAACCAAAAGAGATGGAAAATACGAGAGAGAGGTAAAGAGAGTTGGGTGGAGGTATATGAAGGTTAAATATACAGTCCTGTGTCACTTAGCAACAAGGATACAGTCTGGGAAATGTATTAAGTGATTTAGTAACTGTGCGAACATTACCAAATATACTTACATGAACCTAGATAGTATAACTCATTCCACCCCTAGGCTATATGGTATAGCTTATCGCTCCTAGGCTACAAACCTATACAGCATGTTACCATACTGAATACCATAGGCAACTGTAATAAATGCTAAAGATTTGGTTTTTTAAGCACAGAAAAGACATAATAAACATGTGGTATAAAGATAAAGTATAAAGGGGCCAGCAGATGCTGTAGTGATTGGGCCACTGGATTCCCATGTGGCTGGTGGCTGTTGGAGTTCGGACCTGGTGACTTGAAAATCACGCTGGGCATGTATGCATGTGTGCCCAAAATTCCAGGAGAAGAAAGGGTTGCAGTGTGGCCATTCCTCCCGGAGAAGTACCAGCTCTCATTTTCTCTCTCTGTCTCTCTCCATGAACCCTACACCAAAAAACATTCACAAAAAAAAAAGTAGCTATTAAAAAACGGTATGCCTGTATAGGGTAAACCATAAATGGAGCCTGCAGGACCAGAAAATGCTCTGGGTGAGTCAGTGAGCGACTGGTGAGAGAAAAGGAAGGCCTAGGACATTACTCTACACTCCTGTAGACTTTATAAACACCATACACTTAGGCTACAGTAAATTTATTTTAAATTTTTTTCTTTCTTCAGCAATAAATTAACCTTAGCTTACTGTCACAATTCTACTTCATAAACTGTCAAATTTGTTTAACTTTTCGATTATTATAATAACACTTAGGTTAAAATACGAACACATTGTGCACTTTCACAAAAATATTTCCTTTCTTTCTATCCTTAATCTGTAAGCTGTTTCCATTTTAAAATTAGAATACTTTAGTGCTTTTTAAACTTTTTTGTTATAAACCAAGACACAAACACATAGGTTGTCCTAGACCTACGCAGGGTCGTCTACGTCACTATCTTTCAACTCCACATCTTGTCCCGCTAAAAGGGTCATGATGAGCAAAGCAAGCTTAAATCAAGCAGAAGAATATTCACAAATATTTTGACATGTAAATATTGTCTCAAAAATATTTAAAACCATACTGTCTCTGTTATAGAGTCACAAACAAAATTATAACAAATATTTAAAAAGTTATCTTTAAAAATTCAAGGTTTTTTGGAAATTTTGAAATTTGTTTATTAACTCTCAAGAACTATGGAGTATGAGGAAAAATGTTTTGATATGTAAAATAAATGTTTGTGAGAAAATGTAAATAAATTAATTTAAAAAATAATAAATCAGGACCAGCTGCTGGCGTAATGGCTATATCGCTGGACTCAGGTGTAGTCGACTGAGGTTCAAGTCCTGGACCCGGTGGCTTAAACTCACGCTGGGCACATGTGTGCACACACACAAGATCTCAGGAGGAGAATGGAGAAGAGACTGTGGCATGGCCATCTCCCCTGGGGGGTGATTTCTCACTTTCTGTCTCTCTGTCTCACTCTGTCTTTCTGGCAAGCACACGCACTCTATAGCAAAAACCTCCCCATAATAATAATAATAATAATAATAAATCAAGCAAAAGGGAAAATGCTATACTCGAGAAACTCAGTAAACATGAGCTTAGGTCACTGCTGGCAGCGTAAGACAGCATACTGTTTTATAGGAAACTTCTTTTTTTATAAGAAGATGAAGTACATTCTAAAATAATATTAAAAAGTAGAGTATAGCAAGTATATATACCAAACACAGACATTTACTATCAAGTGTTGGGTGCTACACATAATGGTATGTACTATACTTTTAAACAACTGGCAGTAGAGTAGGTGGTTTACACCAGCATAAGCACAAACACACCAGTAATGCATAGCACTGTGACATTAAGACAGCTATGACATCACAAAGCTACAGGAATTATAATCTTACGGAACCACCACGATAAACGTGGTCTGCCGTTGAGCAAAATGTTATCGTGTAGAACGCAAGTATACATCTAATGGGGGGGGGAGGGTCCAGAAAGAGAAGAGCTATTGAAAGGAAATTTTATTCAAAGAAACAAAGGCTGAGAATTTTCCAGAAAAAATGAAAAATAAGAATCACAAGCTATGTAAATAGAAAGAAATCCAAACACAGGTATGTGGTGAATCTACAGACTCAATGTTAAAGAGAAGTTCTTACAAGCAACGAAAGCCCCAGCTATGGTGGCACAGCAGAAGTGCACTGCTCTGTAATGTTGGAAGTAATGTGGAAGACCACAGTTCAGTGCCCAGGTTGACCTCTACAGTGCTGGCTGGATGTTCACGTGCCAAGATCCTGGCTGCGGGAGATCATGCCACAAGACCCTGTTGAAGGTACTTGTTTATTTCTCTTTCTCGCTCATGAAATAAGGGAATAAATAAACTTTATCCAAAAAAGCAACCAGAAAGAATATTTGTTATGGAAGCTAAGGAGAAGAAAGAAATTTTGTCTAGAAACCTGTGACAGGAGAAATAGTATTTAACTAGAGTTTGAAAAGAAAGCTAAGGTTTACATAAATGGATTTGAGGAGAGGAGGACATTCTTCTTTTAGAGAGAGAGATTTTTGCTATAGAGCGTGTGCACTCACCAGAGAGACCAAGGGACAGAAAGTGAGAAATCACCCTCCAGGGAGGATGGCCATGCCACAATACTTTCTCCTCTATTCTCCTCTCAGGATTTTGGACATGCATGCAAACACACCCAGAGTGAGTTTTAAGCTGCTGGGTCTGGGACTCGAACCACAATCAACTACATGGGAGTCCAGCAGCTTAACTATTATGTCATCTGTTGGTCCCGGAAAGAAGGACATTCTAATCATAGGTGTGGGAAGGCAATCATAAGTAAAAATGCAAAGGCCAACATGAATAGTGAACATAAAAAGAATGATCCGATTGAAGCAAATATTAAAGGTAGAAAATTGATACAAGACAAGTTGAGGGAGGTTTAGTCAAGCTATCAGGTCATCAGAAAAGTCATGACACATTTTTCTACGCATTTTTGCATATGTCATGCTTTTCTGACTACCCAAGATTATAGTGAACATTGAAAAGCCCTCTAAAGATTTGGACCTATTTACCCACTACCACTGAAGGTATTCCCTGGCTGGTTCATAATGGATTCTTTTTATCATCAGATTCTTACTTCATAGTAGCGAGAGAAATTCAATGACTTTAAAACTGGAACGGCAGCTTTCTCAAAGTTATAGTGCATTCCTTGCTGGAACCCTAAGGGTTCTGAAGTTAAATACAGTCTGAAAAACAAAACAAAACAAAACAACAGGAAGCTCCAGGTACGCAGGGGCTTATCTTTCTTCATCAGGTAGTCCATGGTGACTGCCTCAGCCTTCTCTGTGTATTTGCTTTAAGCTCCTATTAATTTAACAGGCCTGGGAAAAGAGTGAGTCATAAAGGTGGAAAAATATTTTGGCTGCAGCTTTGGTGAAAGGTGAAATGCAGTAACCTTGCAATGAGTCATCACCACCTCGGGCATCTTAAAAGACGAAAAATAAAAAAGCCTTAACCACTGTGGTTACTGATCTCTGAGTACGTCTGACAGGGTGTCGGGATTTGGTAACTTCTTGTCTGGTGTGGATACAGCCGAACATGCCTTAGTTCTCCAGAAAGAGGCTTGAAATACCACATTACCAACAGGCAGCTTGTAAGACTGACTCCCCCACCTCCCAGACCTCAGCGGGAGATGCAGCTGCAACCCACCTGGCCCAGGGCAGCCCTTTTTGCTTCATTGTGAAGGAAGTACCGGCTGCCGGTGCCAACAGAGACTCTAAAATAGACATATTTAAAAAATCATGCTAGCCAATTAAATTCTAAGAAAATTACATTGGCAATAAAAGAATATGAAATTTACTTCTCTGAACTGTGACCCTCTGGATTATTTGAAGTAAACCCAACAACTCATTAGTATGTTTAAATATGAACAAACTGAACTACTCCTTCATTATGTAGTTCTAGAATAATAATCCCGAATTCTTTAGCTTATATCAAAAAAAAAAATAGGAAAACTGCCTGAAGATGACGTGTAGGCACCTATTGTCAGTGTTTATAAAGAAAACAAATGGTTTCTGCTTAACCCTTTGGTTTGGAAAGCAACTCGAGCCTCTCCAGGTGTGTCTGTAAATAAATTACTATTTACTGACCACGATCCTGAGAGAAAAGTTGCGAGCCCCATAGAAGAAAGGCATTGCTCGGAGCAAGGGAGGCAGCATGAGGGACGACGCAGACCTGAGCTGAAATCTGAACTTGTCACTTAGTGGTGCGCAGCCTCAAGGGAATGGCTTTCTCAGAAAAAAATTTTAAAATGAGGTAGTGGATATGACAGGATGGATATGAGGACAAATGAGGTGACGAATGTTCCTTCTTTGGTACCTAATCACTTCAGCTCCTTCCAGTCCTCTCTTCCTAAAGCCCTTCCCCTTAAGGAGATGGCAGCAGGTCTGGTGAGCGGGTTCAAGTCCATGAAAGAAGGCCTATGGTACGTCACAGTTGAGCAGAAGAGAAATGAGAGTATGTTCGCTCTCTCTTTTTGTGTAAGTTATGTATTTCTTCCATGAGTGAGAGAGAAAGAGAAAGTCAGACACCCCCAAAATCGTCTTCACGCCATGATGCATTCCCAACCTCAGCCAGCCAGGGTCAGGGACACAGGCTGGAATGCAGTAGAAGAGCTCAGGGTGTGAACCCATGACCTTTCCATGTGGCGTCAACATAGTGGGGCACTGTCTTACCTCCATGCCACTATGCTAGCCAAGAGGACATTCTTAACTGCAGTAAAAAAAACATGAGCTCTGGGACCAGCCCTGGACTCCCACGTAATCGACTGCAGTTCAAGCCCCAGACCCAGTGGCTTAAACTCACGCTGGGCACGTGTGTATGTGTGCCCAAGATCCAGAGAGGAGAATGGAGAAGAAGGGATTACGGCATGGCTATCCCCGCTAGGGGGGCGATTTCTCACTTTCTGTCCTTTTGTCTATCTCTTTCTGGCAAATGAATGTACCCTCTAGCAAAAAGCTCTCTAAAAAAAAAAAAGTTCTTGTAAGACACCTGGAGGACAGGAAAGAGGCAAGTGGTGGAGACAGTTGCCCTAGCAGGTCAGGCATGGCTGGAAAAAGAAGATCCTTGGGCACTATGCTGAGGCCTTTGGACTTCATGCCCTGAAGAAGGATGCACCTATGTAGGTTTTGAAGCTGGGAAAAACTGTGCCTGCAATTCATGGCTTCATTCCCATCAACTCCTACAATTTTGCTGTGAGTTAGCAGATCTCTTCTTCAGCATCAAGAAAGTGGCCATGCCTTCTACACCTGCTATTTCACTTCTCAGTGCCTGTGTCTGATAGAGCCCCCAGCACATCACGTCTTTATCTTACAGATGAAGAAAGGAAGACCCAAGGAGGCAAGGTGGCTTGCCATAGGTTGGCATGAAGAACTTGAAATCCATGTTTTCTGACCTAAGCCCTGAGCTTTGCCTACTATTTCTCTCTATGTGCTGAAATGAAATGCAGGAAGGATGAGCCTGGGAAGCACGTGCACTGTGACACGTGCACACCACAGGATGAAATGAGGTTTTAGGATTTGCCACGCCCCCATTGTTTCATTCTCTATCTGAAACCTAATGATCTCCCTGAACTGTTACTATTTGGGGATTTAATTCTTGGAGGCAGCTAATGTAGCTCTATAAAAAAAAGAAAGCTATAAGTAACTTTGAATCGAAGCACACCTGTGTTAGTGTGAACACAGCATTTTAGCAAAACATGTTCTTCCCTCAGGGAATCAACCCTGATTATTAAGGTGTTAGGACTCGCCTGGGAAAACCATGTCCTGGTGCTAAAAGGCTGTAATGAAATTCACAGCCCAGTGCGGGAACCCCAACACCTGTCTGATCTGGGCAGTCAGTTTATATACTTGGCTCAGGTTCAGCTGCCCTAACAATACAGTCAGCATGCCCCAAGTAGTCATCCCAAAAAGCTGGCGTAAGACTGGGTACAGTGCACAATGAAGAACAGCCTGCAAAAGGTATTTAAGTCTTTCTATAAAGAGCAGAGGTTGTGAGCTTCCCCAGTTACCTTCCTCCTGACCCAAAGAGAACCCTGACAGTTAACCCTTCCCTTGAATCACTCTTTGCCTGCAGTCAAGGAACCTTCAGCCCATGCTCACAGTCTACCCTCCCCCACCCAGCAGGCCCTAGAGCTTCTCAACTTACAGGGCACATGAGCAAAACCAAACACGGAAACCTCTCCTCCCTCCTGAGTAATTTGATATCAAATTCACATCTCAGTCTCAGAAATTTTGGCTTTGCCAGAAGTTGCCAAATGAAAGACTCCGTACATAGATGCGTTATTGGCGACAAATGACCAAAACCTCCCTAGACAATACAGATAGGAATAGTTCTTTCTATTCTTTATTTTTATTTTATTTATTTATTTTGCTATAGGGCCCATGTGCTCAATGGAGAGACAAAGAGAGAGGGAAAGTGAGAAATCACTTCCTAGGGAGAATGGCCACCCACAATTCCTTCTCCAGTTTCCTCTTAGGGTTTTGGGTATGTACACATGCCCGCATGATTCTTAAGCCACCGGATCTGGAACCTCAACTGCATGGGCAGCCATATGGGATCTAGCACCTTAACTTTCACACCACCTGCTGGCCCAACCATTGTTTACTTTTCAAAATGCTGTTTAAAAAATTTTTAAGTATATAACTTTACAGGTTACACCATATTCAAATCAACATTTGAGGTGATAAGCACAGTTTATCAGAGTACCCTGGAAAAAAAAAGATTATGCTATTTCTGTTTTTCAATTTTCCCTCATGTCCTGCCTAACTATAGGAAAAATGTTCTTGAGTCCCTATGGCCAGTAGAAAGAAAAAATGGGAAAAGAGATATAACTTCTCAAGAATAAGTTGAATAGACATGGTGACCATTTGAGGCTATCTTAAACACATTTTGAAACAAGGCAGATTTGAAAAAAAAAAACATAAACGCACTCTCAGTGATCATTATGCGAGTTTTGACTTGCTCATGCTTTTCCACTTCTGGATTATTTTCAAGTCTTTCTCGGAAAATGACAAAACACAGTGCTTCTGCACGTGACTCTGCTGTGGCCATTCCGCACTTGGTATATAACTGAGAAAGGTCTCTCAGAAAGGCAATATTCTCCATGAGAACACCAGAGCACGGGGTATGTACTGTTATTCTCCACTTCCTACCCCTGAAGCTGTTCTCAGCCTCTCTCTCTCTCTCTCTCTCTCTCTCTCTCTCTCTCTCGTATGAGTGTGAGATCACACAGCTTAGCCCCTGGCTTCCCTGTCACTGTCTTGCCCAGTTACTTTCCTTAGGCCCAGCCAATAGGAAGCTCTGTCAGGAGCAGAGGATGGAAGAAGAAAAGATCAATGTATTTCTTCCCTGCTTCCTCCCTGTTTGGATGCCTCCTTTCTAGTGATGTCTGCTCCTCTCCACAACTACATCCCAGCTGGAGCAGCCATACCTTTCACTCTGTAGCTCTCAGTTGCCACCAATACCGCAATTTGAAGGGTGGGGGCTCTTCAAAAAGTTTGTGGAGAATGCATATTATAGAAAAAGTAGATCTGGAATTTTTCCACCACAATGAACTTCTACTTTAGTTCTATTTTTTTTCCTACTTTTTAAAGTCCCTTTGTATTTTCTCCCACCAGCCTTCCAGTCCTAAGGGGCTGGGAATGGCTTCTTGTTATCACAGTTGTTGGGTCTCTTAGCATCCCTTGCTTGTGCTTTTGCCTTGTTGGTTCCTCTGCAAGTGGTGCTTTCATGGATGCCTCTTTTCTTGAACCATCTAGGTAAGCATTTTTTTTTTTTTTTTGAGAGAGAGATTTTTGCTATAGGGCGCAAGTGCTCACTGGAGAGACAGAACAGAGAGACAGAAAGTGAGAAATACCCCCCTCAGGGGGGTGGCCACACCAGTCGTTTTTCCTCCAGTCGCCTCTCAGAGTTTTGGGTAAACATGCACACATGCCTGGTGTGAGTCTCAAACCACTGGGTCCAGGAATCAAACCACAGTCAACTATGTGGGATTCCAGCAATGTAACCATTACACCATCTGTTGGTCCCAGGTAAGCTTTTTTTTATTTCCAGGTGGGACCATGAGTTGGGGTTATCAGTAAGTGTTACAAAGATTGTAGAAATTCCCTAGTACTCCCTTACACAAAATAGCATCTTTTGGGGAGCTTAATTCTATTACCTTTATTCTATGCTCTCAATCACTTGGAAAACATGGACTTTAAAAGTCTTCTAGTTCGGGACCAGCAGTTAGCATAATGGCTATGTCTCTGGACTCCCACGTAGTCGACCACAGTTCAAGTCCCGGATCTGGCAGCTTAAACTCAAGCCAGGCGTGTGTGCGTGCGTGCCCAAGATCCCAAAGGGAGAATGGAGGAGAAGGGATTGTGGCGTGGCCATCCCCCCTGGGGGGTGATTTTTCGCTTTCTATCTCTCTGTCTGTCTCTGTCTTTCTGGCGAGCGCATGCGCCCATAGTGAAAACCTCTCCAAAAAAAAAAAAAAAGTCTTCTAGTTCCTGAGGCCAGCAGGTAGTGTGATGAGTAAGACACTGGACTCCCACACAGCTAACCACAGTCTGAGTCTCAGACTCAGTAGCTTGAAAATCACACAAGGCACATGCATACCCCAAATCCTGAGCAATGGAGAAGAAGGGATTGCAACATGGCCATCTCTCTGGGGAGTGATTTCTCACTTTCCCTCTCTGCTGTCACTCTCTCTGGTGAGTGCTCATATCCTATGGCTAAAAACAAAAAAAAAAAAAAAAAAAAGTCTTCTGGTCCAACCCTGTCTTCATAGTTCAGAAAACATTACTAACATTTTTCAATTAATAATCCTTATGAAGACCACCACTGGGAACCAGCAGTTAGCGTAATGGCTATGTCGCTGGACTCCCACATAGTCGACCGCAGTTCACGTCCCGGACCCAGTGGCTTAAAACTCACGCTGGGTGCATGTGCGTGTGTGCCCAAGATCCCGAGAGGAGAATGGAGGAGAAGGGATTGTGGTGTGACCATCCCCCCTGGGGGGTGATTTCTCGCTTTCTGTCTCTAATGTCTCTGTCTGTCTGGTGAGCGCACGTGCCCTATAGCGAAAATCTCTCCAAAAAAAAAAAAAAGACCACCACTGGCCTAGTGGTAAAGGGAGCTGGATCCCATATGTCAGAACATGATTCAAACCCCAGCTCCGGCAGCTTGAAAAATACCCCATATTTGTGTGTATGCTTGCCCCAAACCACAAAAGAAGTAAGACATGGAGGAGAAAGGATTGCAGTGTAACCACTTCCCATCGAGGGGGTGTTTTCTCCCCCTGTTCCTCTCTCCCTTTCTGCTTCTCTCTAGCAAGGGCATACAACCGCTAGCAAAAAAGTAATAGTAATAATGCTTCTGGTGATCAGCACTCTCGAAGCCCTTATTAAGTCACTGTTTAGGAACTGTACAGTGTTTCATGTAATCCTCTTAGTCTACATCAAAGAGATTTTAGTCCTCACTTTATTAGCCAAGAAATTAAAGTTAAGTACCATGCCCAAGGTCCCTCATCTCATGTCCATCTGTCTCTGGGTCATTGTGATCTTCTTCCAGCATCAAGGAACGACATATGCAAGCAACTGTTGAAAGAGACCAAAAGACAGGCCAAGTACGTTGGACTCCAAGTATGAGCCATCATGCTGCCTTGTTGAGCAGAAATTACCTCAGAAATAGATGAAGGCTCCCTACAACACTGGGAAATTTGGCATCAGGTAACTAAGGAGAAGCAGATCGAGGGGCACTGCAAATAATAAATGCCCTTTCCAATATCTTTGAACGCCAGTGGCAATGAGAAGGACAGGGGGGGTTGTCTCAACTTAAGATTTCTCCTGTCCCATTCTGAAATATTTGAGTTTATAGGAGAGCGAGAACCTATATTTGCCTTTTTCTTTTTATTTTTGTGCTTTTAAAGCTCTAATTTTTTTCTTTTATCATTTTTAATTACATTTAATCATTGTACATCTTTACCACATACAACATGGTTTTTCAAAACATACATGCATTGCATGTGATGGGAAAAATGTGGCACATATTCACTATGTAATACTACTCAGCCATAAAAAAAAAAAATGAGAAGCTACATCTGAAGCAAACAACTAGCACCACACTTTAAAGATCAGCACTCAAAATGCCAGCTCCACAGACAGAGACAGCATCTATCTTATCTGTCACTAGCATATCCTAGTTTGTAATTAGAATGCCAATCAGTTTTTGAATGAGTGAAGATGCAAAAGCAAGTCAACATATGAACCCCCTTTTCTACGAGGCTTTAATCATGCATGCTGAAGTAATATGCTCCAATAGTGTGCCCCTTCATTGTAGAAGTGCTCTTGATTATTAAAAGCCTCTTGCTCTTTCTGCCTTCAAGCATGGTGAGCTGGCGTGTGGTTATTCCACCAAGTGCAGGATCAATTCTGAACTGTGCGAGTGGATATTTGACAACAAATTGTTCCTCCTTTTCAGAATCATCAATCTCCTAACACAATTCTTTCAAAGCAAAATGCTTACGTCTTAACTTGTCCTTCATTCATGTACTCACCACTCATTCATCAGTATTTATGAAGTGTATTTAGTAGGTGCCTACCATGGGCAAGGCTCTTCATTAGGTATCAGGTGAACAAAACCAAACAAAACCTTGGACAAATAGTATATGATTCTCTGTATGTGAGGTACCTTGAGTGATCAAATTCATAGAAAGAGAAAGTAAAATGGTGGTTTTCAAGAACTGGGTCTAGAGAACAGAGAGTCAGTGCTAATGGGCATGGAATTTCAGTTTGGGATGATGGAAAAGTTTGGAAGACAGATGGTGATGAACGTAAATGTACAAACGTCACCAAATTGTACACTAAAAAAGATTGACATGTTAAAATTTACGTTGTGTATATTTTATTCAAAAATAAAAACCAAATGAGCTTTTAAGATGATTATATTACTTACCATACAAGGTCAGATTTATAATTTAAAATGCATTTTTTGATTTAAAAAAATACACAAAGTTAATGAAAGGTGATTTGATTCTAAAACAACAACTCCTGTGTTTGGGGGAATCACAAATCATGAAATAAGATGGATGTTAGCTCCAAATACCCTGGCACACACAAACAAATGTGACATTATCACTGCTGTGGGTGGTGTGCAAAGGAGAGACGGGAGTGCTGGAGAAGGGATGGAGGGATGGACTAGGGCAGGGCCCTTACCCATGAACTGTTCCCCCGAGAGAGAGACAGTCATGGAAGATATAAAGAATGAGAGGGAGGCAAAATGGGCTGAAAAGACGGAACAGTCTTCTAGGCAGAGGGACCAGTAAAAGTCCGTGGAAGTCAAGGAGGCCTGTGGATGCCTGGATGAAGGAGACTCGTTGGTGATTCTACCCTGGATGGTTACACATGTTACTCACAAAGTGGCTTGTTGACCTTGGTTCAGAGTGGATTGTGGTTACGAAGAACAGCATACGCAGGTGCTACTAGTGACAGACAGTGCCCACAGAAAACTGTTAAAGTGGGGCTTATTTTTTTGTTCCGGTCAACCGGCCAAAGAATTTCCATGGTGTCACACCGTAACAGAACTGATTATTCTTTTTTTAAAGTTTTTATTTCATTTTATTTTTATTTTTGATAAATGAGAGATAGAGACAGAGAGACAGAAATCCCAACAGGGTCTTGATGCTACAACACACTGCCATCGTCAACCAGCCCCAGACTATGGCCTGCACATGACCCGTGTACTCAGGGGGTGTCTCCAGGTGCAACCCAGCAACATTCCATGTGGGTCAGCCTCAAAGATAGCCACATGCTACCCTGCATCACCCCGTGCCCTCCCAAAACTGATCTTTCAGAAGACAAAGCTGAACGAAATATTCGATGCTTGCCTAGAGCAGTAAGTGATTATCTTGGTAAACTGATGAACTGCTTTCCTTATTCCAACAATTTCATAGATAATAAATAGTTGTGACAAATAGACATGAGAAAAATAACAAGCACTCTGCACTTTCAGTGCAGTGTTCAAAGATGCCAAGAGCACTGAACAAACTCACAAGGAGAAATATTCCATTTCACAGTGCTGTGTCCATAGACTTATAAATATTACTTCTCTATTATGTTGGTTATGTAGCATAATGGTACAATTCTATCATAAAACATATTTCTGTCTTTGTATTGCTTACTTACAAATATATTTGAACAAAGAGTAAAACAGCCTACATGTAGGTCTCTATTAGCCTAAACTATTTTAAAATCTAGGAAACTAGCAGTATGCTTAATTGCCAGAGGTCTCTCACTAGAGAGACACAGAGACAGAGAGACAGGGAGAGGGAGAAAACACTTCCCACTGGGTGCAGTCATACCAAAATCCCCTCTCCTCCATTTCTCCATCCTGTTGGGATTTGAGACATATACACACACACACGCACATGTATGTTCAGGGCTAACCTAGCATTATTTTTGGTATTCACAAATTCCCATTTAGAATACACATTATTGGGAACCAGCAGTTAGCGTAATAGCTATGTCGCTGGACTCCCAGGTAGTCGACCACGGTTCATGTCCTGGACCCGGTGACTTAAAACTCACACCAGGCGCATGTGCATGCGTGCCCAAGATCCCGAGAGGAGAATGGAGGAGAAGGGATTGCTGCGTGACCATCCCCCCTGGGGAGTGAGTTCTCGCTTTCTGTCTCTATGTGTCTCTCTGTCTGTCTGGCAAGCGCACGCGCCCTATAGCAAAAACCTCTCAAAAAAAAAAAAAAGAATACACATTATTAAAGCATATGGAAACATTTCTGTAGATATTTCAAGATGAAAGTCTACAAAACAGCTTCTACAAACCCCACTTTCTGAATAATCCACCATCACTGAAAGTACTAAAGGCACTGAGCTGAATATAATCATTTTAGACATGCTTGTCTTAGTTCTTGCTCAAGTCAAATGTCTTCTGCTAAATCCTAGACTCAATGAGCAATTCTCATTAAACGTTAAAACTTGTGACACATGGCATATGGAAGTAAAAGGACCCTTTTAACTGCTTTTCCAGTGTGCAAATTATTTTTATATGCATTACTTTATGAAACTAGATATGAAAAGGCCTGCTTTTTCTTTTAGTGCTCCATGATCGTGAACTATTCCTTTCATTTGCATTGGTAGTATGTCATGGGCTACAGTGTGAACTGTGTTTAGGAAGCCATTTTATCATGCATGCATAGGCAAGGTGCAGAGAAAGATCTGGAATGCAATGCAGATCACGTTTCTCCCAGGCACCTTGGCTATAAATGCAACCAGTTAAAATTCTGTCATGCTCCTGGGTACAGTTTGAGTTATTCATTATTTTTTATTCCTACAGCACACCTACTGTTTGAAAAAAGGTTCAAGGCTAATTGTAACTCCTCTGTTTTGACTCAGACAACTTGCATGGGAATCTGACTTGACAAGGACATCTTTTTGTGTGAGGTGGGGCTCATGGGAAAGGCGCAGTTAGTGCGCACTCTTTAATGGGCTTGTCCTTTGAGCTCTAGCCTGCATGACGTCTCCATGGAGGCTCTCTCTGGGTCACTCGGCCTGCAGCACCCTCAGATGTTCTCTGCTTCCTGCTTCTCAAACCATCTCAATTCTTTCAGCTTGTTGTCTGTTTGTTCCCTGAAACATTGACACACAGAAGGGAACTGTATTCATCAGCTAGGACTCTCGACATCAAGGACACAAACGTGGGGATTAAATAGTTTTTCACCTCACAGCTCTGGTGGCTAGAAGGCCACGGTTAAAGTATTGGTCAGGATGGCTCCTTCTGTGGGTGGTGGTGAGGCAAAGGTCTGTTCTTGGCCTCTTCCTTGGCATCTAGTGGTTTTGTGGCCATCTTTGGCATTTTTGGCTTATAAAGAATCACCCTGATCTCTGCCTTGATCTTCATGTACTGCCCTCCCTGTGTGAGTCCCTCTTCCTGTCCAGATTTCCCCTTTATGTAAGGACACCAGTCATGCTGGGTTACAGGCCTAGCCTCCTCTGGCATGACCTCATCTTCTTTTTTATTTTTTTTCTGGCAACGTTTGGGACATTTTACTAAAGTACAAAATTATTAGAAATTAAGTTGAATAGAAAGTCATAGTAAATATGGACAAAACCATTGATAACATCACTCGAGTCCCACACATGTAACACCAGAAGGCAGAAAGGCCTCTAAAGAGATCTAATGGCTCGCTTGTGAGCATAGCAGCAATGTCATGAAAGCTCTTTCTTTTTTTTTTTTTCCTTTGGAGAGGTTTTTGCTATAGGGTGTGTGCTCTCGCCAGAAAGACAGAGAGAGACAGAGAGACAGAAAGCAAGAAATCACCCCCCGGGGGGATGGCCACGCCTCAACCCCTTCTCCTCCATTCTCCTCTTGGGATCTTGTGCACGCACGCACACGCGCCCGGTATGAGTTCAAGCCACCGAGTCCAGGACTCGAACCGTGGTTGGCTATATGAGAGTTCAGTGACATAGCCATTACGCTAACTGCTGGTCCCAAAAACACTTTTTTTAAGAGAGATTTTTGCTACTATAGGATGTGTACACTTGTCAGAGAGACAGAAAGCAAGAAATCACCCCTCGGAGGGATGGCCATACCACAATCCCTTCTTTCCCATTCTCCTCTTAGGATTTTAAGAATGCACGCACATGTTCCCAGCATGAGTTTAAGCCACTGGCTTTGGGAATCGAATCACGGTGGACTATGTGGGAGTCCGGCAACATAGTCATAACACCATCTGCTGGTCCCATTATGTAAGCTCTTTGAGCAAATGGTGTTCCCCACTCTCCCATAATCCAGCGCTCCCTAGGACTTTGTTCTTTGGGATATTCAGACCCAGAGAGAGCCAGAGGAGACAAAACCAGAACTAAGACGGTCATCTAACTGGTCTACTTTTCTTCATCCCATCAGTTGTGTCAAGGATACATAGACACAGCCAAAGCGTTGTTCTTCAGACTCTGTGAATTCAAAAGGATGTGAGGAATAAGAGCCATTTCTCATTGCTTGAAAAAAAAAAAAAAGCTCAGGGAATAAAAGGCAGAGTGAAGAGTACTAGTACTAGAACTATATGGAGTTTTGGAAATTACCCACATAAAATGAAGATAAAACAGAAAAGTAATCATGCTCTGCCTCAAATTTAATGAAAGTAGGAACAGAGGCAGAGTGACAGTTTAAAATCTAAGTGTTCTAGTTCCAGTTTAATGAATGGCCACTGTGGAGGGCACTGCATATGGAAGCCATCTTGAGCTATCTACCATCTTGGAAACCATTAGGTTTCACTTCCTCATTTAGTAAACCGTTTCTCAGAAATCATGTGACCAACCATTCTCCCCTGGGGGCGGTTGGGTTTCTAGGCAATGGGAGAGATCCACCCACATCAGTGATTGGTTCATACTGTTCTATCTCATTTGCATTTCAGGCAACCAATCACTGCCCATCAACATGATCCCTGGCCCACAATAAAGGGACGACCCTGAAGAGTTGTAACACTGTGTCATGTCCATGTTGTAACACTGTGTCATCTCTGCACTGCTCATCCCATCTCTCAGTCCTTCCCTCAGGAAACCTGTTGGACTGTCCTGCGGGTCAGGACACGTGGCACCTGAACAGGGACCTGAGTATGAAGGATCCAGTGAAGAGCTCCCGAGGAAGGCTCCAGTGCAGAGCAACCGAGAAAAGCCAGCGGAAAACAGAAGGGGACAGCAGAGACTTGTCCAGAAGGGGACGGCAGAGAATCGTCCCGAGAAAGGCTGGCGAAAAACATAGGATGAAGAGAAGACATCCTGGTAAGTAGTTACTTACGTTTCATTTTAAGTATGGATAATAATGGAACAAGAGCTTAGTCAGCACGAACTATCTGTTCAGGACTTAAAAGAAGCCCTTGCCGTTATGGTTGCTAAGACTTAATATCACCGATCATGCAAAATGATCAACCCCAGGAGGAGGCTATAGCCACCTCAGATCTAACCAAGGATTCTAAAATTGAAAAAGAACAGGGAGAGGATCGTATTTCCCTAGATAGTGAGGAAGAAGTTAAAAGCCCCAAAGGTGAGACAAAACCAAAAAAATCCAAAAAACTAAAAAAGAAAAACAACATTAAGGCTCTATAAGAGCCAAAGAAAAACGAGTCATCAACTAGTTCAGATGAGGAAATCCTAGAGGCCAAGGCTGACAAATATAATAACCCAAAATGGCCGCCTGAAGAAGAAATTTTAGAAACAGAGGCAGCCAAATACAATAATCCAAAATGGTTGCCTGAAAAAGAAACTTTAGAAACAGAGGCAGCCAAGTACAATTATTCAAAATGGCCACCTTTTAAAAAACGACCGCCATCTTACAACTCGGTCGCGTCTGCACCACCTTTGGTGATGCTGGTTATTGACCCTAGGAAAGAGATTTAGAATAAAATTAAACAACTTGAAGAACAAATTCAATTAGAAAAGAAACATCAAGACTTAATATCACAATTGGAAAAACTGAGAATGGGTAAATCTGAAAGTACAGGTTCCTCACAGAATCGCTATCAGCCCACTTCTACCCCTGGCACAAAAATTAAACCAGTTCAGATACCACAACCATCAATGAACTTTGAGGAATGGGAAGCCTTCCCGGTAACAGAAACCATAGATCAACAAGGGCACTTTCTGTCTCTCTGTCTCTTAGGTGAGTGCATGCACTCCCTAAAAAAACACAAATAGTGATTCTTTGATTTTTAACTGGAGCTACTAAGAGGATTATGAGGCCTTTAAATGAAACATAAAGGGGCCATCAGGTAGCATGGTGATTAAGGTGTTAGACTCCTACACAGCCAACCACGGTTCAAGCTCAGACCTGGCGGCTTGCTTCCCACTTTTCCTCTCTCTCTCCTCTCTCTGGTGAGTGTACATGTCATATAGTAAATTTAAAATAATAATAACAATTAAATTAAATAAATAATTGTTTTCTTTAAAAAGAAACCTATAAACATGAGGATGAGGGTGCTGGACTGCACCTGTCAGGCAAGAGGGAGATGTCCACAAGACATCTATGACAGATACACAGGTGTGGTGACTGAGAGAGCCCAAGACGCACTAACCATCCAACCAGACCCTTGGAACTAGAGTGCATAGAATTAAAAGGGGGAAAGCCCACAATAAAGCCTGAAGACACATCACTCAAGAGCATGCACCACTAAGGAAGGTCATGGAAGAGACTCGATTGTTCAGTCTTATCCTCCTGGTGAGCTGGAAACTTCCTAAGACAAAAAAGCAAGGGCTAGTGCTGTAGCCTAGTGGCTAAGGGAGCTGGATCCCACTCGGCCAGCCACAGTTCAAATCCTGGCCCCTGCAGCTTAAAAAAAAAAAAAAAAGAAAAGAAAGAAAAACACTGGACATATGCTCCAAATCCTCATGAGATGGAGAAATGAAAGAGAAGAGTTTGTAGTGTGACCATGCCTCACTGTGGGGTGTTTTCTCCCTCCCTCTATCTGATTCTCTGTTTCTCTGTTCTGTCTGGCAAGCACACACTCCCTTTAAAAGAAAAAAAAAAAAAAAAAGCTCTGTGACTTGTATCACACCAGCACTCCTCCTGTTGTCTAGCACTGTGTTAGGTACCCTATGAGCATCTAACAACCTCAGTGAACTGACACTCCTTTTTCTTCCTGGGATATTCAGGAAGGAGAAAAAACATTCCATCTGTGACTGGGTTTTGCCAAGCACAGATGTCTTTTCAGTGTGTGGAAAATTTTCTCCAAAGTTCAGTGAATGTTCGAGGCTCAGAGTTCACAGGCAGGTGAAGAAGACCACCTTTACTTGGCCAGGACTGGGACTGTGCTAAGGGTGTCTGTTATAGTCAGAAAATGCATTCTCAAAGTAGAGCGTTGGCATGTTGTCACTGTGAGACAGGCCATCTCCTCCCATATTAGACAAAACCATAACTAAATTTAACAGTGTCATTCCCCTAGGCCTCATCCAGTCAGGAAACAGAAGAAATGCCACACTCATTCTCCCAAAGCCCATGTTCTATACCCAAGGACCATCCCTCTCCTGGGTGTGACGTTGCAACCTCAAGGACACTCCCTCTGGCTTCTCCCCATGTTCTTCTGCCTGCCAGAATGTATAACAAGGAATAGATCTGTCACCAAGGGCACATACCTGTGGTCACATAAACACATAAACACGTTCACTAGAAGCCACGTTCTCAGTCTCTGGCCGTGAGAGGCAGCCTCCAGCCAGACAGACGAGACTCCACCGAGTGCTCAATGCTGCTCTGCATCTACTGGAGGTCTTGGCAGGAAAGAGGTGGCAGATGTGTCTTCAGCTAAGTCGTAGCAGAGTCAGACTGTCATAAGTGGGCTTCTAGCTTGTAGCAGGCACCCTGGATAAGGCCGAAAAAAGGGGAAAGGGCTATGATGGGGAAACTATGAGAATACTCTGCACTATAGGTATGGTTTCAACAGAAAGAGGACACTGAGTTTCCAGGTCTTGTTTTTGTTTTGCTGTTGTAAAATAACTCTGTGTGTGTGTGTGTGTGTGTGTGTGTGTGTGTGTGTGTGTGTTGTGTATGCACATGTACACAGAGAGAGAGAGAGAAGAACAAAGAAAATAGGTGAAGAAAAGTTCCTGTTTCAGTTACAAAGAAAACTTTTGTGTATTTTGGACAAACTAGAAAATAGTATTGCACCTCCCCACCCCCATCAATCCAGGAAATTTAATAAATGTCAAAGAAAAATCCATATCCTCTTTTTATCTCATCTTTACTCTAAGTAGATACTTCAGAATTGTGGGAACAAGGTACATCATTCGAATTGTTACAAGTGTTTATTAACAAGTACTCAACTAGACTACCTTTGATTCTAAATTTTAACATTATATGATTTTTTCAATTCGCCAGAGTGTGCATTACTTACTGGAGTGAAACAGAGAGAAAGAAAGCAAGAAAACAACCTCCATGGCAAATGGTCATGCTGCAATCCTTTCTCCTCCTTTCTCCCTCCTTTTGAGATTTTGGGCACACATGCACATGCTTGGGTGTGTTTTTCAAGCCACTGGGTCCATGAATCCAACCACATGACCATTCATGTGGGATCTAACTGTCTTAACCACACCACCACCAGCTGGCCCCATTTATGAATTTTTAACCTTAGGAATCTCTGCACTTTGATGTCTTTATTTATTATTTATTTATTTATTTATTTATTTATTTATTTATTTATTTTAGAGAGCTATTTGCTATAGAGTGCATGTGCTCACTAGACAGAGAGACAGAAAGTGAAAAATCACTTCCCAGGGGAGATGGCCATGCTGCAATCCTTTCTCCTCCATTCTGCTTTCTTGACATTTTGGGCACACATGCACACACACCCGGCTAGAGTTTTAAGCCTCCAGATCCAGGAATCAAACTGCAGTCAACCTTGTGGAAGTCCAACGACCTAACCATTATGCCATCTGCTTGTCCCTGCACTTTGGTTTCTTAATTTCTTCTTTGTTCACAGGGATAATGGCTTAAAAATATTCCTTGAAAGTAGACTTAATACAGTATAAAGTCATAATAACCTGAGAAAAAATAAGTAATAAATAATTTCTAGGGTTCTCCATAAATAGGCCATTTTAGCTAGGGACTTTGACTGTAAATATCCTATTCAGAATTAATCATTCTCCATAATTATTACAAATAAACAGGAGTTTCCAGACCAATCCCCCCCAAAAGTAGCAGGTGAGGAGCACACCAGGCCCAAGGAGGCCATGCTGGTCCTTCATCATCTATTCTGTGCCACAGTGCACCCAAGAAAATGAAAAGAGTAGCTACAAGCTGAGTGACCTTGGGCTAGATACTTAACCCGTCTGGTCTTCAGTGCCTTCCTTGGTAAAATGAAACATTAAGACTGCAGTCCTTTGTAGCTCAGATTTTCAGTTTAATTTCTTAAAGCTTCATATTTTTAAAGCAAGATCAAAATTCATCACTCAGTGTGTAGATGTTGAGACCTCCACAATACTTTATCATTCTAATGACACTAACGCTATTTGGTCAATCAGACTATTCAGTGTATGCCTACAAGGCTTACAATGCCTAACCTAACCAAGTGCTATGGGAAGCTCAAAAGAAAAAGAACCTTTCATATCCTGCAAGGGCAGGATATGAAATAGGGGGCAAGCACTATCCCAGATGTTCCCGCCTACCTTCTGCGTGTCAGTGTTATCAAGAATCCCTTTTGATTCAACTGTAAGGAGCATCAGTGTTCCCTCTGGTCAAAGAAGAGATAAGGCTCACAGTTGTCAACTGTTCTTCTCACTCTAGACATGAAGTTTCTCCAAAATGCTGATGCTGTAAGTTGGGCTAGCACAGCAGCCAATCAATAGATTTTGCTATGTGTTAGCCTCATCCCTTAAGCCTCTCACTGTCTGTCTCTCTGTCTCTCCAAAAAGTGCATGCACCCTAAAGCAAAAACCTCTAAAAAAAAAGAGAGAGAGAGAGAAAAGGATTTTGTCATTGCATTAAAAGTTTTGATCCAAGTAATCTAAACAGTGAAAAATCAAATCATACCAAAAATGTCCTTATTAATCAGATGTATAATCATCTCATTTCTAAAATAATGATTTGAATTACATAGTAAAATATGAATTTATTTCTATTAAGAAATTGAAATAAGATAAATACAAGTAAAGAAACCCTGAAAACATTATTTCCAACCCTAGTTCTTTTACACATTTGTGTAATACTCTCATGAATTTAGTGTATATCTACTCACTTCTTTTTCTATTTACATATGAAATTATGCAAATAGTTACTTTTGTTTCAAATCTGAGCT